GTTATTCTTGTTTAAAATTTTAAAAAAACTTATTAAAAAATATTTGCTTGGTTTCTATTGACTCAACCCCATATATTCTAAAAGTATAGATCAAGAAAAGAAGACTAAAGCCTGGGCAGACCAATCTCTCTGTTGTTAGCCAGAAGTAAGTAAGAGACCAATAAAAAATCTGTATAAGAAAATAGTTCAAATGCAGGTATCAAAATTGTTGTAAATCTTATAAAGGCAAGAAATACATAATAGGCTACTAATTAGAAAAGTTGTAGTTTGAAATATGACTATAGTATAGCAGCATTCAAAAAGTGGCATATGATTTTAGTATAGCAACACATCAGGTATAGATAGCAGTAAAATTGTAACAACAATTTCTACATTTTATAGCAGAAATTGTTGAAATAATTTTACCAAGAATTTTATAAAAATTAAATACCAAATTAAATTTTAATAGTTTAATTTATTAAAATATAAAAATAAATTTATATACAAAAATTATTTCAACAGTTGAAATTCATCAAAATGTAAAAAATAATAAATTTAAAAATTCTATACACCTGCGTTAATATGCACTCATAATTGACCAATTAAAATTGATCATATAGAAATATGATCCATTGTTTATAGTCAAGCAATCAAAATCAATTACAAGTTTTATAATAAAAAAAAATGTTTATAATTTATTTAAAAAAAAGTAATACACAATATAACAAATGCAAAATTATCTAATACTAATGCAAAACTAATTAATTTACATGAAAGCTAAAAAACAAATAGCACAAGCTATAATAAAAATGTCAACAGCTCTAATATCAATAGCTTCAATGACAAAATTAGCCCAGACAAAGAAAAGTATAAAAAGCAAGTACAAATGATTCAAAAATAATAAACTTATAAACTCTAATAAAAAAAAAAACTCAAACAATGAATTTACTTGACTTCAATAATGAAATTATACTGGAAGAAGAGAAATGTTAATAATTACAAAAAAAACAACATAAACTCAAATAATTAATGTTGCCAACTCTAATTTAAGTTAAAATAAACAAAAAATGTTAGTTAAATTAAAACAACAAATAAAAATGAAAAAAAAGCTAATTAACAAAAGCTGCTAATCCATGTTCTAGCAATTCCTAAACAAGACAAGACCTATACAAGAAAACAACATCTAAAAAAATAAAATAAAATTAGCAAAGAGCTATTCAAAATAGCAAAAGAAAAAATCTTAACAAATATTGAAAAATATATTTATAAGAACTTCAAAAATATACAAAATCTACAAAAATGCCAGAAAAGTGCAAAGCCACTCTAAGAAAAAACACCAGAAAAATGCACAAGACTGTCTGTAAAAACATATCAAAAAATATAAATAAACATACAAGACTATCTACAAGAATGCCAAAAATCCACTCTACAAAAATATTAGGAAGTATAAGGATACTGAATCTAGAAGAAGCTCTAATAGATACTAATGATGATAAAGGTAGGCTAAAAAATAAAAAATTAGTATATAGTACCAAGAAAGCAAATGTGAAAAAAAAAACAAGGTTATATACAAAAATATTGAAGAAATATACAAGACCACTCCACAAGAATGCCGAAAAATCAACTACAAAAATATTAGGGTAATATAAAGATACCAAACCCAGAAAAAACTCTAATAGCAACACCAACAACAATACCAACAACAACACCAATAACAACACTAATGGTGACACCACCAACAACACCAATGATGACATTAACAATGACACCAATGATGACAAAACCAACAATAAAACAAAAAAAATTAGTATAGTATCAAAAAAGCAAAAGCAAAAAAAAGAAAACAAAAAAAACAATAATTATTAAAGATAATTATTATTTATATATAATGTATAGGGATGTATAATTGTGCAGATACATGAAAAACATTTTTCAAAAATTATTTATACACAAAAATTATTTTATGCAAAAATTAACAAATGCAATAAACTAATTCAGAATTATATTACTAGATTAACTAAAACTATCCTTAAATATTCTGTAACTACAGGCAAGATAGTTAATTTAAATTTGAAGTTCATAATTATATAAGTACTATTTTCTTCCAATCATCTATTATAATTTCTCAAGTGGAAGTTATACCCTCTTTTCAAAAATATTACCAGATGAAACTTTAGTAGATTTACTTTTAAACATATAAGTAGCTATGTTTTGATATTTTCTTTATTACAAAATTACTCTTTTTCATTAATGCTCTATGTTTATATTATGTTATAATATTGTTTTAAGTCTTTATTTTTGGGGTTAGAGTCCCATAGCCTAGTGGTCTAGGTGCCTAACCCTCTACAGACGAGGTCAACAGTTCGATTATAGCTAGTGGTAATTAATTTAATTAATTATCTCTGTAACCTACAGAAGCTTTCGAATGTGAAACCCTGTGATGATAAGACTATGTGAAGTACTTATTTGGCCTATAAAGAATTCTTGGAAGGAGTCCCGAGCCATAGAGAAGACTAGGCACTATGTGT